CAAATTGAAACATTGGAAATGGCATTTGAATATAAGAAAAAGCTGGGGGTTTATACCATGACAGTGGCTGAACAGTGGTTCAAACAAGTTCTGGAGACTCCATCCTTGGTGATATTTGAAACCAAAGTGGACATGGCCCCAAGAAACCTGTTCTTCTTGACCCTACACTGAGCAGACATGGCTGAATAGAAAATTTGCTGAGATTCCTTCTGACCTCAGCAATTCTGAGATTCTGTAAAGCTGGAAATAGATTTTGGGAGCATTCTTTAAGTTCAGAATACAGGTGATACAGGGATCTGCATGGCCTCTTCTCCACTATTGCATTGTGTATACTTACAAGTGTCAGTATCACACTGACACCCTTATCACAGCCATGGCTAATCATTCATATTAGTGTAGTGGGGAATATCAGTAGAAAGGGAATGCTACATCATATCACCTCAACTTTACAGAGAGTAAACAGATTGTATTATCATCAACCATTCCACAGAATCCAGAAACCAATGTGGTACACTGGGCTAAGATTACTTATACCAGATATTGAGGGGAGCATGTAAAAGGCTGCAAAACATGCTGAAAATCAACAAATGGTGCATGCAAGGCAGATATAAGACCATTACATATCATTTTTAAGTACTATGGAAAACTGTTTAACACTGTGTTTATTGTATGGCAGTTGCTGGTTAAATTAACAGCAAAAGAAACAAATAACAAGAGGAAAAAAACAGACTAAGGAACCTCCAGATGCCTTCTTGGCAGTAAGGCACTGAACAACCTGCCGCCCACAGGCTCAATTTTCAGACAAGTTTGAGACCGCTGCATTCCACTTCCTCATCATGGCAGCTTTCGATTTTGGCCCCGAGGAAGAGAAAAGCAACTGAGAGAAAAATACTTGGTTTGACTCTGCACTTTTAAGGCAAGTCATCTAGAAAAGACCAAAACAGAGTCAAAACACAGCAGCAAGCCTGTGAAATGTGGTTGGTTGTAAAATGACCCAAATGGAATACCAGCATGAAAAATACCAGGCCAATCACATCCTTCAGCCCATCAAAATCAGGTGGGTAAGTATAAAATGTAAGAGTTAATGCAGTCCTCTAGATTAAGTAACCAGTCAGTATTTACCAGGATGAATCCTAACTACTCTTTGGGATCCTGATTACAGGTCTCTACTGTCATCACTAAGGAGAGATTAATTACTTATTAATTCAGGCACTAGGATACAGACTTCCTATTGCTTGTGTGGATAATATCCTACAGGTATTTGAAAAGAAAATGATACACTGTTATTTTTCCTCCTGAAGTATCTACCAGGCATACTACAGTAGTTATGGATCCAGTTTCACAATCTCTTTAGGGCAGTACATGTAGGGAATGCTTCCAAAACAGGTCATCCTATCTGCTCTCATCTTTTTACCGACATTACTAAACTGGTAAAGTGAGGATAACTAGGCATGTATTCTAAACACTGCTAGGACTCTTCCTGAAGACTAAACAATTATTTTATTTTATATGATCCACATACTGTAGTGTGGTCTATAACCTAGATTCAAATGTGAGTGAAGAAGACACACAACTATATCCTGGACAGTGGGTCGGAGGAAGCAGAAATTATAACATTCAGTGAAACTAGAGAAATAGCTACAACCTGAAGTTAACTGAGAATTCATGAGAGAGTAGAAAGTAAAGTAGAATAAATCACAAACAGCTCTTACGTTTTGGCAGAGAAGTATGGAAAGAGAATGGATGTGCCATCACACGTTAATTACGCTTACTTACACATTAATTAACGTTTGTAAACAAAAAAGAGACGGTCATTGAAGTCTGTACACGTGCTGTTCAGGTAGAGGTTCTATGCTTGTCTAGCGATGCATCTGCGGTGACCATCTGGCACATTTTTATGGGCGCAAAGGTGGGAACAGAACTGCCTGCACTTACGGGTATAAAGAGTGCCAAGGAATAAGGGCTACTCGGAATGTTGGGCAGGTCTCGTGCAGGCACAGAGAAACCGAAGAAAAGGCTCATTGTCCCGGATACCTGGAGCAGCGCAGAATTACGCGCACATGATGAAACGCGCTGCGGGGCTCTGAGGAGCGCAGGGTACCGGGCGCGGGCGGCATCCTCGCTCCGGCCGCAGGACAGCGGCCCGCCCGGCGAGCAGCGGAGCCCGCCCGGCCCGGGGGGCAGCTGCGGGAGAAGGGCGGGCGGGAGCGCCGGGCCCGCAGCACGGCGAGGGCGAGCCCCGCGGCACCCGGGAACCCCGGCCGGGGCGGCAGGCGGGCGGCACCGAGTGCCCCCCAGCCCCGGGCGCCCTGGGCACCCCGGCATCGGGGCGTGCCGGCGTGGCGCTCGGGAGGCTCCGCCACTGGCCAGGAAACTTTCTCGCCCGCGGCCCCCGCCACCTTCCCCGGCCCGGGGCGGCAGGTCCCCGGCCCGCCCGGCTCCGCTGCCCTCGCCCCCCGCGCCGCCCCCTCGGGCCGCGCCCTCCCCTCACCTGGGCGAGAGCGGCGCCGGCAGCGCGGCGGGGTCGCGCTCCATCGCCGCGGCGGGGCGGGAGCAGCCGGCGGCGGTGACAGCTCCGCGCTAGGTGAGCGCCGCCGCCACTGAGCAGGCGCGGAAGCGGGCGGCCCCCGCGATGATGTGGCCCGTGATGCGTAGAGCCGCCGCCGCCGCCACCGGCCGCTCCGAGCCCCGCTGGGCGGGGCAGGGAGGAGCCGAGCGCCACCGCCCCGCGCCGCCCGTGGGACGGGACGGGACGGGACGCTGTGCCCGTGGTCTCTCCCAGCCTGGCCCCCGGGGCGAACCCCCACTGCCCGACAGTCGCTGCCCGCGCTGCGAGACTCGCCCGCGGCCCCTTCGCCTTGCCGGCCCCTCGGCCGTAGCGGGGGCGAAGCTGCGCCCCCGCCTCGCTGCCCCCCAGGGTCCCGGCTGGTGCCCCGCAGCCGGGAAACAAAGCGCTGGGGAGCGGGGCCAGGGCGCTCCCCGGGCAGCGCCGGCCGTGCCGGTGCCTTTGCTTCCACTCGCAGAAGCTTCTTGGCCGTAGCACTGGAGTCGCCGTTTTGTACTGACTCCTGACTGCCAGCTGCCTGGACGTTGTCGCTTTTTCCTGCCAGTTGGCAAAAAGCAGCTTCCTCAGGAATCCAATTTTGTAAAGTGTTTGGGTCAGTTGGAATATCCTTGTTCTTGCCCAACTGGACTGTGCACCCTGCAAACAGCACGTAAGTCTGCAAGTTCCTCCCTTGACATCAGCTGCCTCTGTTTAACTAAGTACGGAGCCAAGGCCTTGCTGGACTCCTGTTTTGAAAAAGACTTAATATTAACACTTCACATTAATACATTGGAACAGTCAAGCCAGCTAAATTTGTGCATTTATTATCAGTACTAGTATTATTCCTCAATTGTTGCTCAATTGTTTGAAGTGGTGAGGATGCCTTAACTGGAAGGTGAAAGGGAAGAAAGGAAGAAAGAGGATGAAAAGAGAAGATTTAATGATGGTGACAGCACCCAAACCCACAGCATCCCTTTTCCTGTCTACGGAGAGGAAAAAAAAGACAGCACAGGCAAGTCACCAAGTGTTTGCCATAAACTGGAGCTAGCTGCAGTGGGGAAATGTATTTGCAGGACTGGGGCCAAAACATTCTGCACTATGAGAGTGAAACATGCAGGATGAGCTTGAACATTCATGTCAATACCACCTTAAATGAATGAAGCAGCCCAAACTTCCGAGCTAATAATTCAGCTGTCTCAAGCCTGTATTTATTGGGGATTTGCAGCTTCCCTACCCTAGTAGCAACCCTATATACCCATGGCCTGTGTGAGCTCAGGTGTTACACAGCTTGGATACTTAGCTGGGCTACCCTACAAATCAGATAAAGATCACATCTGCTGTTGTTGCCAACAGGTGAGACTGTAAACCTGAGGTTTGGGAATAGCACCTGAGGGTGCTTTTTTTGGCTTTTTTAATTGCTTGTCTGGTTATCTTGGGCAATCATTTAATGACTCACTGCTACAGGTTCCTTGACAGCATTATGCCCCACCCTCCATGGAAATCACATTATACCCATGGATGAAGTATATTGTTTGAGGTTCACACACTTTTATTTTGGGTTGTGTACAAATTCAGAAAGACTCACTTTTGAGGCCCAAGGCAAAAACCTCAGCCCTCAAGATTTTTCAATCATTAAACCTAGCAATGGGATTTTTCTGAGAAATGGAAATTCTGGAGTGCATCTGGGGAGAAAAGGTGCAGGTAGAAAATTCAGTGGAATGCACCTGGCACTGTGGGTGGGCTGGGGAAGTGGCAGAGGACACTCATTTGGACAGTCTGTCAGGAAAAGAGCAGGGTGGTCTCTTGCTTGAGGCCTTGCAGAGGTTTGCTTCTTATTCATGTTAATTCCAAGATACTGGCATCTCGGTGGTTGTGTGGTTGGGTTTTTTCCTTTGTCATTTTTCTGTGTCCTTTGCAATGAGGGCCCTAAACACCACTTACCTGATTACTATTTATTCTCATTTTCATCTTGGACTTCCTATCTTGCTTCTTATGAACCATTCAGTTTTCTTTTTGCAGTTTTCACATTGTCTAGATGTGAAGGGACACAAACTGCAGAACAGATAAGGACAGAGATTGCAGAAGAAATCCTGAATAACAGACTAGTTAGTATCAGTGTCAGCTGAACTTGGTGGTTGTGTAAGTTTCTTTTCCAAAGAATGATTAAAACTCCCTCAGGCTCTGATATTTAATTTTAGGTTCATTTATCAAATTCTGAAAATGAAAATGGGAAAGTTTTGATAGACTGACAGGCTGGTGATGTTACCAGCTGGCAGGTTGGTTCCACGGGCTCTTCATGGTGATGGGATGGACTTTTTGTGCCAAATCACAGAATCAATCAGGTTGGAAGGGACCATAGTGGATCATCTGGTCCAACCTCCCTGCTTAAGCAGGGTTTGCACAGAACTGTGTCCAAACAGTTCTGGAATATCTCCAGTACGGGAGACTCCACAACATGTCTGGGCAAACTGTTCCAGTGTGTGGTTACCTGCACAGTAAAGAAGGTGTTCCTCATGTTCAGGTGGAGCTTCCTGTGCATCATTTTCTGCCTCTTGCCTCTTGTCCTGTTGCTTGGCACCACCAAGAAGAGCCTGGTTCCATCCTTTTGTCACTCTTGCCACTGAAGAAATCTCCTCTCAGTTATCTCTTCTCAAGGCTAAGCAGGCCTCCAGCTGCCTCAGCCCTTCCTCTTAAAGAGATGCTTCGGTTCCTTAATCACCGTTGTTGCCTCCGCTGGCCCCGCTCCAGGAGTTCCATGTCCCTCTTGTCCTGAGGAGCGCAGAACTGGACACAGTCCTCCAGATGTGCCTCATCAGGGCTGAGCGGAGGAGCAGGACCACCAGCCTCCACCTGCTGGCAGTGCCCTTCCAAACGCACGCCAGGGCCCTCGCTGTGTCTCAGGAGGCTCGGGCCGTGTCACCGCCATCTCGCCGCCGCGCGCTGTCCCCGCCGTCGCGCACGTGCGGCAGCGCCGCTACTCCTCCCGCCCGGCAGGGGGCGCGCAGCCGCCGAGCGCGCGCGCCGCTCCACTTCCGTGCGGGCGGGCGCATGGCGCGGCCCGGGAGCTGCTGGACGTGCGGCCCCGGCCAGGTGAGTCCGGCACCGGGCCGGCCAGCCCGGCACCGGCCTGCAGCGGGTGGGTGCTCGGCTTGGCCAGGTGGTCCGGAGGAGGGGCTCGTCGGCCTCCGGTGACCCACTGGTGATTGCATCCCGCGGGTATTGAAGAGCTGCCCTCCCGGGAAGGGATAATACGGAGCAAATAAGCGGGAAATCCACGTCAAACTATGGGAATTCGTAACGATATTTTTATGAGAACAAAGAAAAGAAGTTAAAAAGACAGAACATTGCGCTTTAATTAATGATACCGGGCGGATGGCTCTGTTGGTGGTCATAAAGATAATGAGGATAATTAATGCCGAATTCCCTGGCATCCGCTTGGGTTTTCCGGCGCCGCTGCTGCCCACAGTTAGCGGAGGTGGCTGGCACCGCCACTGAAATCAGGGCGAGGGGCGCGCCTCGGCTCCCGCCTCACCGTGCCTCGCAGAGGGCAATGAGAGCTTGTGTTTCTGTGCGCTGTAACTCTTTAGTCAAACTTTGTCTCAAAAACAGCTTAAGGAACTTTAGCTTAAACCCAAGGAGTGTGTGAGAGGTGACCTGCAGGCTGAGACCCCTGGCCTGTATAGCCCAGTATTTCTTCTAAGAGCAGCAAAAGCAGTTGGCAGTCACAGAGAACTTGTCAGCTTAAGCACTTCAATACTCGATTGTTTGTTTGTTTGCAGGGCTGGGAGACATTCTGCTGATTAATTCAAAATGTAGCAGCAAGAAGGCCACAACTTTACAGACGGTTAAGGTGCCAAGGAGCAATGGTGAGTACGGAGGAGCTCGTCCCTGGTACCGTGTCTGGTAGCAGGCAACGTTTGTGACACAGCTTTTGCTTTGGTGCTTTCCTTGAAAAGGGAGAAGCTTTTGTGTTCAGTTTCTAGAGGTGGTAGGTCCTCCTCCCATGACAGCTCCATGTCCAACTGGTGAGTCATGTAACTGCTGCTGCTGCAAAATTAGATTTTGCAATGCTAGGCGTTACGTTTAGGGACAGATTGTTCTTTCCCAGTATAGAGCTGTTGCTTGGCCTTCTTATCTCTTTTTTAGAAGTAATTTCTCAGTTTGATATATTTGTTGTATAAAAGCATTTAATTTAAAAAGGACTTCTGTCAAATTATTTTATGTTTTGTGATTGAGCTGAAATTTAAAAAGATTGTTACATTGAATTCTTTGTTGGATAAAAGTCTCTACAAAGATGACAGTGTTTCAAAGATTGATTATACCTGTTAGATTTTTGTGGAGCTCACCTGAAACAGTACCTCTTCTTAAAGAAAGAAAACTAGTGTTTGGCTCATCTGCATGTGTGGAGCAGTTTATTTGAAGAAATTCTGGAGGTGAAAATATTGTCTTCCTTCATGGAAGGGTTATGAGTGTGATTCTCCTAATTCCATTGATTACGTTAAAATTCTTCTGAAGTCCCGCTGAGCTGTAGAGCATAAGTGCTTTATACGTCAATCTGGAGCTTCTGTCTCTCTTACACCATCTTAATTTCAGAGTTTCTTTTGTTAATTATGTTGACCTTTCATTAGTCCATCATGGCATCTGCTACAGCTAGTTTTTCCATGTTCTTTGAGACTTTCAGTCTATACTTAATTATTGTAGACACTGGAAATTACAGTTGAAATGGAATCTGTTATAAAGGCTCATATCTGAGTTATAAATGTGAACACTAATGAGCATCTCTTTGACTTTATATATATATATGTGATAATTGTTTCTTTTCAGTTTTGGACCGAGTACAGAGCTTTTTACCACAGATGGCCCAGGCAAATGATGAGCTCAAAAGAAAAATGGTAACAGCACCTGCTCATCAGTTTGATATTGAACATCTAGACAGTGAAACAGAAAAAGTTATAGAAATGGTAAATACATTTTTTTTATTTTAGCATCAGTCTAGATGGGATTAAAATAACTCTGATCTTAGAATGAGTAATATGATAGATAAAGTGACGTCTTTACCATTTTCTGTGAAGTCTTCACCATCATACTTGCAGAATTTAATCACAGGGGATAAAGCAGTTCAAGAACGGAATAAGACATGCTTTTGAATCTACAACTCTGAATCAAAAGTCACAAATTGTATTTTAAATGTCATCTAGGTGATTATGTTTAGAAACTGGTTAATATAAAGCCTAGTAAGGCATAACAGAAGGCTTTCAGCTCTGCTCTGTTGCTGTTTTTAGGAATGACTAGATCTTGGGTTTAGAAAAGTTGTTAGTGTTGTTGTGATCCTTTGTGGCTGGTATTTGTCTGTTTATTTACAGTCACATAAATATTTTATTTCTGGTTTTAACTGAAGTGCTGCAGCCACGTACTTACATAAGAAAACTTTATTTTGAAGCTGATATATGTGCATAACCCAGCCAAATGCCTTTTCGCTAAGCAGACCTCAAAAATTATAGCTCTGTATATGGATATATGAGATCTCTTCAAAAAATATTCTGTTGGTTTAAACTGCTTGTTATTTTAGCGTAGTTGTAGTGCCCTGAATACTACTACATTATAAGATATAAACTATATTAATATATATATCTACACGTGATAGTATTTTTGTCATGACCCCTTACACACTAAATGACATAATTTGAGTTTTTTACTGAAACAGCAGTAGTTTTGATGCCTGCTGCTTGTCAGTTTAAATACCTGATTTAGACAATCTGAGTTCAGCTATTAACTCAGTTCTTTCTTTGATAGTAGTATAAATGTGGCCTTAGATTTCCTATAGGGCCATAATATTTATGAATCTCTTAATGATATTTGTAAAATCCCTGGAAAACTCAAAAGTCTTTTTTTATTGTAGTTGTGATTTTCTTATGGTAGCAGGTTGTTTAATGTGTTCACCTTGTTTTACTCAAGTGATAGAAGTGATGTAGTGTGTGTGTATATATATATATGTATGTATGTATGTAGTATGTGTTAACCAAGATCTTTTTTTTTTTCAGAATGTGGCTGTAGTTGAACTGAGTGATTCTGATACAGATGAAGAGTTGCTGACTTCAGAAGATGACTCAGAATCTGATGAAGATGACTCTGTAACTGATGAAGTGACAGTGGACAACATTAAGTTTCCTAAACAAAAGGGAGAAAAGGGCAAAATAGAAATTTTGGACAGCAAAGCAAATGAGTAAATCCTTTTTATTTCACTTTAAAAAACCCCAAACCAACCAAATCATATTTTCTCACTTTGAAGAGTTGTCTCTTAATACCACTTTGTTTCCCAGTGTAGCATCTCTCAGGATCCTGTGAAATGCTATAGTTTACATGGTGGAGAATTCAGGATCCACTCATGGCTGGGAAAGGCTGGGTTTCTGAAGAATTAAGTGTGATTTTATTCATCAAGTAACAGGGAAATGCACTTCATAGTAGATTACACCAAGAAAACAGCTAGAGTAAAGGGGCACTTGAAAGTTGAAAATTCTTGTTCTGTTGCTTTGTTGAAGAAAGATTTTTTTTTTTATAGGAAGATAAGGGCAAGAAAGAGTTAACCAGGAAAGAAGCTTTGTTTTCATATTCCATGTCCTGTGAAGTGTTATGTACACTCTCTTCACTGTTAAACATGATCTTGAAGTACCCCAGAGGTAAGTCTACAATGCATTAATGGCAGTGACTGCTCAACAGTGGAGCCGTGGCTGAGCTCATTTCCAGCAGAGCCAGCCTGGACAGCCATGAGTTCAGCAAAGGGTTACGTAGTACTTACCCTGTGTGCTTGCACTGGGCTCCACACCAGCACAGGGAGCTTACAGGCTCCTCTGGGAAGCCTTTGTGGCTTGGTGCAAACACGCTCCATACTCAAAGGATCAAGGCTGCCTCTGGGGTGTTATGATGGCTTTAAGCTACACTTTTCATCCCCCAATTTCCCTGCCGTGTTTCCAGTCTCCATTTTGTTAACTGTCACTGACAGAAGGATGAAAAGGTGACTTTTCAGCTGGCCTATACTTAAGTTGGCTTGACACAATTGTGAAACCAGAATCAGTGAAAGTGTGTCCCATTTATACTTAACCTCAGATTGATCAAATACAATGGTTTGGGCTATTACATTCACTTCATAGATCAGTCTGCATTTCAGAAGTATCTGTCATGCTCCTGGATGTCATTGTTTCTTAAAGGAACTTAGTATTTTCTACACCATTAAAGTAATATTTTCGATACTGTATTTGCTCAAATATTACACTTCATGTCATGACTTGAAACCTGCAGTTACTTATAGAATTTATTTTGAATCCTGTACCTGAAGTTCTAGTTTTAATACCTGTTTCTGTAGTATTTGTAGTAAGAAATAACAGGGATTCTGGTCTTTCTTTTACAATGTGGCTTAAATATAAGATGGAGACATTTACTGATTAAATCATGAAACATTTTAGTGAAGGGGAAGGATGGGGATCAAAGAATCAGACTGCTGTCTTTAATAGCAGCCTACAGATAAGTGAAGCTTCGGGTGTTTTTGCATTCTAAGAGCAAGGAGTCTTAACAGGCTTAGTTAAATAAGGTCTCAATCTATAGAAAATTTCTTCCAAACTGAAAAAAGTTTGAAAGCCAGCATCTGACCTTGGTCATTTAACAAGGGATTTTCCCAGAGATTAAAAAGAACCCAAAAGTGTGAAATACAAAGTAATAATCATACAGTATGAAACAGTGATTACAGTCCATGTGCAGAGACACAAAATGTGATTTTAATCCATTAATGTAACCACCTTTCAAACTGCAGGCAGATCACACATTCCATATCAACAAAAAAGTAGAAAATATTTTCAGTAACTTTAGCTTGATATGCATAGTTTAACACCAATATTGAACTCTGTATATACTATACAAAGATCATAGTAAGTGCACTTCCTTGCATTGATTTACTTCTTATGGCACGAAGGTTTTCTGTACTGCTGAAAAGTCACTAGAGCAGAGTGTTTAATTGCTACTGTAAAGCCTGAACTGGTGTTTAGCAAAAATGGCATAATCAGTATATTCTAGTTCAACTTTGGAAGCCTAATGACTAAAGATTTAAAATGATCATGTAAATATTATGTCACAGAAATATGAAGTAGGTGTGTGAGAACTTACTCTTCAGTTCTGTTTAAAAAAAAGAAACTGAACCATATTCTTGGGGGGTTTTGGTGGGGGGATGATGGGAAGAAATTGTGCTACCAACTGTTGCTGCTACATAATTTAAATAACTTCAGGGTGATTTCCAAAAGCCATTGTCTGTCAGACTAAAATCTGGACCTAATTTATAGAAACTTATCCATGGAATGAGTATTTTACTTTGTTCTTTTGGTTGTAGCATTGCAGACAGCATATCCTAGGTGTGGTATCAAGTGCTTGGTGTGGTAATCAAGATTCAAACTCTGCTGACAGTCTGCTTCCCAAGTGAAGCTGTTACTTTAATATTCCACAGTGATGGCTTTGGTTCTGAGATATTCATGAAGAGCTTCTTCACCTGTACAAGCACAATATTCACCTGTTAGAACAGCAGCTAAATGAATTTTGTCAAACTGTGACTATTACTAAGAAAAAATTTTAAACACTGTAGCCAATATTTGAGTTCTTAAGGAACAATGAAAACGAATTACCTTCCCACTGTGATTTACAGACCTGGTTTGACAAGGGGCCAGACCCAACAGATGTGGAAGAAAAAGGAACTAGATTTAACAAGCAGCTCCCCAAGCAGCAGCAGTCTTTAGATGGCCACTGGGGGCTCATAGGTGTATTTATGAACTTTGCTTCTCCTCTATTAAAGGTCAGAGGTAGAGAAGCTGTGTGAAAATCAGTAATCTTTTTTTCCCTGACATCATGACTCATTGTGGTTTCAGGAAGTGTCTTTGGAGATTCCAAAAGCAAAACTCTGTTGTGTGAATGAAATTTGATTTTCCTTTTTTCTCTGCCATGAAGCTTGAGCTGTCCAGACTTGCAAAGCTTCTTTGACAAAATAAACTTCACTTTTCTAAAAAGTTGTTTTGAAAAGAGAATATTTTTAATGCATCTTTTTCTGTGTCTATTGGCAAATTTTGGTGACATTTTAAGGTATAAAAAAGTTTCCCATGCTCTTACTTAGAGGAGATACCTAATTTAGCATTCTATCTGAGGGAAAGAATATTTTGGCCAATACCATTGTTACTTGACAGCCTTTTGTAGCCTGTACAGAGCTCTGGAAAAGCTGTAATTTATTTGTCTGCTCTCAGAGTAGTTGGAGAGGAATATTCTGTGTTATTTAGCAAATATACAGGAAATGCTGAATGGGAGGTATTGAAGTGGGAATATTTAGGGAGGGAGAGGAATTGGGTTAAGGATTGTAATTCTTTCATTGATTAAGACTCTGAGACAATAAAGGAGGGAAGGAAACAACTTACCTAAATCTTTCCCAAAGCCAGACAGCTTAAATCCTCCAAATGGCGCTGCCACATCAGTTTTGTTGTAAGTGTTAATAAAAACTGTCCCAGCTTCTAGCTTTTCACTGATGTAGAGAGCTTTGTTTATATCTTTTGTGAAAACTCCTGAAGCTAAGCCATATTCTGTGGCATTTGCCCGTTGCAATACTCCATCGACATCCCTGTGGGGGAAAGAAATTATTTAATTGCAACTAGGTAAAATAAACAAGTGTTAGCAGCCTTCTGCCTTCAGTGTCATTGAAGCAATTTTCACATGGCCTTTCTTCTCTAGTGAGCTTTTTTAAAGATGACTTATTAAGGACAAATCAGTGTGTCAATCTGACAGATCCATGGCAATTCACACCCTTGCTTCAAGCTTGTGAAGCTCATAACTTCACTTTTCAAAGGTTAATATCTGCACTGAGAAATGCCACAGGAAATGTTGCTACAGTACAACTTGGGAATTAGAGCAATACAAAAATGCCTGTAAAGCAGATGATGAATCAGTTTGCTAAAATTTTTTTCAGCTTTACAAGTTAATGCAGAATAAAAGCTGGAATTTAAACTGCTATCAAGACAACTTTTCAGACTATTTCCACAGTGCTATTTTCTATCTGCATCTCATCTCCATACAGCTTCAAAAATCAATAGTAGTTTTAAACTTTAAAAAATTCAATGCAGTCCCTTAAGACTACAGAATTTATGGATGTGAAGGGTTATCTACATGGCTGGTTCTTAACTTTATTATCAAACTGCAGGAGATGAAACCTGATGGAAATATTTATGTGAAGTTTCTATGTAGAATTTTAATCTCATCTGTATGTTAAATAATTCTTATGATCCAGAATGAAAGATATTAAAAATGACAGTTTACAAAATATGCAGAGGAGTTTTCATTTGCAACAGTAATATGCCAGTGTTACACAACACTGCAGTCTTCTGTAACAGGAAAAATAAGTAATTCCACTGGGAAAAATATACATTTTGTAATTTGATCAAGCTGTTGCAATTACCACACAAACTTCACTAAAACATTTCACTAAATACTAGGTATTCAGGTTGGTCTAACAAGATTTAACAAAATACTGTGTATGCTGTCACTTCCTGACTTTGGGTGAAAATGGTACAGTAACCAGACGAGAACATACCCATTTTTAAATTTAGATATGACCATCACAGGACCAAAGGATTCTTCCTGGGCGATATACATATGGTCTTCAACATCTGTGAATACGGTGGGTTCCATGAAGAAACCTAAAGAGAGGATAGAGCAGTGTTCAAGCATGGCGAAAGTGCTTAAGGGTTTGCTGTTGTCCAGGCCATTTCTTTCCCACGCTTTGAGGTCATAAATAACTTTCAACTTGAAACAGAAAACAGATATGAAGTATGAATGGAAATGCATGCACTTCAAGAGAAATGGCAGACAAGAGGGTAAAAGAGCAGCCTGTACATCAGTGACAATGTGTGCTGTTTCCTGCCAGGCTGGGAGGTCTGTGTGCCACAGCCCAGGTGACTCCTTGGGGGAAGACCCTATACTCTGAAGACAAGGTTACAGCAAGTCACAGAGGCCACTGTTTTTCTTGCTGGGAAACAAAAAGATAGATTTTAAGGTTTAAATAAAGATCTCATACTTAATTTGCACAGTTCTCATAATATGAGATTTGAAAGCTGTGGTATCATGGGCTTACCTGGTACTGTTTCCATGATACTGCAACTCCACAAAATACAGCTGAGACAATGGTGACAGCTTTTGCATAAAGTGTAAAAGTTCAAAATATCTCTGGAAAGCCTTTTACCTGGTCTATGTACTTGTCTTCCTCCATACACTAGAGTGGCTCCTTCTTTTACTCCAGTTTCACAGTATTGCAGCAGCTTTTCCAAATGTGCCTTGTGATTTTGCGGACCGTGATCTGTAGCTCTGTCAAGTGGATCACCAATTTTCATCTTTTTTATTTCTTCAACCTATGGGTTACCCAATTGAAATGAAGTTACAATACACAGCAATATTGTTAAAGTGACCAGAAATTTGGAATGCTGCATTTTTTGGTGCTATGAAGACTGAATCTAAGAAAATACTGGATTCTTAGATATAATGCTTCTCCCTTTTTTAAAATTAGGCTTTAGCTTTTGTTTCATAATCTCTAATTGCTTCTGAAAGTTTTTGATTCTTTGTTCATGTGTGTATTCTCTTCTGCTATTAAGATAGGCGTGTAAAATGTTAACTTTTACCTGTGGTATATGACTTAAGACGGTGACTTCTTGTTCTTAAGCAAAATAAATGAATTCTTCAGTGGCACAGCATGGCAACTATTGCATTTTTAATAGTGATCTTTGTATTATTCTAGCTATGCTTCCAATATTCCTTTTTCTGACTTTACAGAAGCCTTCTTCAATCACATTGACCTGAGTTCAGTAATTATTTGTAATCTTATTTTCCTAGTCAAATATGAACTATCACCGAAGGTACAATATCTATTTAACTGCCACTTATCTGCATTACTGATACAAATATCTCCCTTCAATGCTTCCTTTTAACCATGTAAGAGGTTCCTGAGAAGCAGCACTGTCTATTACGAGCAATAATGAGAAATTAGGCAATTGAAAATAAGAAACACAAATGTCTATAAAACTAGTGGATCCTTCTGCCACAGTAAAACATATGCTTAAACTTTAGTTTTTGAATATCTTACCACTTTTCTAACAAACTCATCATGAATTGATTCTTCCACAAACAGCCTGCCAGCTGCAATGCAGTTTTCTCCTTTGTTGAAATACACTGCTCCCATACCCTGACCAGGAAAAAATCATAAATATTTATATGCATTTTTTCAGTCTCCATTCTGTTCCCTTAGGTTGCATGCAGTATTTGTGATCCCAGAAGTTTAGTGTTTTATGTTAAAGGATATCACCAGTGCAACATCTTATTTATGAACTTTGAACACAATATAGGTGGTAGGGAAGGTGAGTTATTATGATTGATACTTGATGAATGATTGATTGATTGATTGATTGATGAACTAAAAACTATATGGCAATAGGGGGCTCAATTCTTTGTTTTGTTGTAATTTCTAATGTATATTTCTTGTAGTACTGCCTTTTTGGGGCAGCACGAACAGTTAAATTGTGCTGGCATAAAGAAATCTGTTTTCTAACAGATCTCAAGGTTTTTCATGCAAAGAATCCCTGGTATTTTTTTTTTTTTTTTTTTGGCAAGTCAAGAATAATATTGCAGTACTGTGAGGATGTACCACAAAGGCTTGGAATAAATTTTACTTCAAAGTAACATTACCATTTTTACAGCTCTGTCAAGTTCACAGTCACTGAATATGATCAATGGTGATTTCCCACCAAGTTCCAGAGAAACTTTCTTCAGGTTAGCAGCTGCACTGTAAAAAATAAAAATAGTCATATAAACCCAAAATAGTCATATAAACCTCTGCTGTCCAGTAGTGACTTAATCAATTCTACATAGTGGTAAACAACTATGTATAGTTATGCTTTTTCATCACTGCTACATGCACAATATATCTAGTAAGATACTTCAGAACCAGACTAAGCAGGGTTTATTTATGATTCTTTTGCTGAGAGTACCTCTTCATGATCTGTTTACCAGTTGGTGTTGAACCAGTGAATCCAACTTTGCGGACATCTGGATGTTCGGAGAGGTGCTGTCCCACTAAGCCACCTATCAGAGTGAGGAAAGCAGTGTAACTGGATGGTACATGGACAATTTTACTATTCCAGCAGCAGCACTGTAACACAGAAGGAGCTTACACCACAAATCAAATACAGTATCACATCCCTATTTACATTTGCAGCTTTATTCCTGTGACTACAAATAAGCTTCACAATTAAGTGAACATGTTTCTCTGTAATACCTTCTTTTCCAGAGTGTTTGTGTCAATTGTGTGAACTTGTAAAGGGTGTAGGCTGACAGCTCCTACCACTAAATAAAGCCAGATTTTTCCAATTCTCTTCTGGAAACATGTGAAATCACTGCATGAAAATATGCAATCCTAGTACCTGTGAACAGACCTATGTAGTAGATCTTCAAAAAGGTGAAGAACTTCACCAGTTTTAGCATGACCTCTCCCAGAAAAATGATGAGTTCAAGTTTTACCTGAACCAGGCAGAATATTTATAACGCCCTTAGGAAATCCAGCTTTAGCTGAGAGTTCTGCAAACTTCAAGGAAGTCAGAGGTGTGACCTAAGTAGAAACATTTAGATTAGGTCTCCTGTTTTAATCAAATGCATGATGATACTTTTTACACTCAATATATCTTAGTTTTGATACAATATTCACCTTGTTACAGTATTTGCAAATTAGAAGTGATGGCTTCTTGCAGAAAATAATTAATTCTTGAAAATTTGATTAGCACCAGGGCAGAATTGGAGTCAATCAATACTTTGTATCACCATGGCAGTTTGTATTATTACAAATGCACTTTCAAATATATGACACAGTCAACGTATGACAGATCAACCTATGGGTGAAATCTGCTACATTGCCTAAATCATTCTGCCTGAACAGGGGCATCTGGGCCATTTGTACATTTCTTTTTGCTCTTACCTGAGCTGGTTTGAGTACAAGGGTATTGCCTGCAGCCAAGCATGCTGCGCTCTTCCATGCAAGCATCATCAGTGGGTAATTCCAGGGAATAATAATTGCACAGACGCTTCAGGCACGGAAAAACAGGGAAAGATTACACATTTGATGGCAGCTTTTCAATGGCTTTTCTGCATGTCAAATCTGTCACTAAGAAGAAAGTGATACTCACCCGATTGGCTCTTTCTTGGTGAATGTTAGATTATGGTTTGGCCGGGCCTGGTTAATTGGAATTGTAGCACCCTAAAAGACAGAGGAGGGACAAATCTTCATACTGATTTATAATTTTTATTACAAATATATTTGCCATGTAAGTATGTTTCAGAAAGCTACAGAGTAGGCTTCAAAACCACAAGCATTTTTGCATCAGGGGAAGGGGCACAGATGCTCCTACTGTATGATTTCCTACTGTGGATATTGTAATCAAGTTCTGATTGTCAGCTGGGTGAAATAACAGGACAGATTTAAAAAAAGCATGAGAGAACATAAAGCAAGGGTCTGATGAACAACAACAAAAAAAAAAGCTGCATGATATTCTTGGTTGGTCTTAAAGATGCTGGAAGAAATGCTCTTGAATGTGTGCCACACGTTCCACCATCAGGCAAACTCACCAGCCTTGGTCAGACTGCAGCAAAGTGCAAGTCTCTGCACTTACCTGCATAATGAGCACAGTGACATTCTGCCCCATGAATA